ATTAAAAAATGTGACCACAAATTAAAAAATTAAAATGGATAAATTTGTCAATAAAATTAAAAAATTTTAATCCGCTAGCGGTTTGGTACAAAAAGTTACATAAACTAACTTTTTTAATCCGCTAGCGATTTGAACCCTAACCGCTATTCATTAGTCTTAAACCGCTAAATAAAAATTTTAACAAACACTTTAGTTATAGCGGTTTCGAAATATATAAATTTATCAAACACCTATATTTAGTGGTTTAGGTAAAACTGCTAACCGCTACCTCAAAAACCGCTATACCAAACGGGGCCTAAAAATTCTATTCATATAAATTATAGATGTCAATTTTTAGAATATTCTAATAAATCTAATTATTTCGTTGATTATATAAAATTTAATGCCTTTACATATATGTTAATAAATAAATTTCTTTGATAAAAGGTTATAAATATTAAATTAATATAAAAATTGATATGTGTAATCTATATAAATAAAATTTTTAATTTAACAATTTATTTTTTAAATATTAATTAAAAGGTAAATTTTTAGATATATTCCCCAAACAAGATTATTTTAACAAAACTTTCCCTATATATTTAAAAGTTTGCAATTATCAATGCTGCTTATATTGTGGAAATTTGGCGTCTGTACAGTATAAAATCATCCATGATGTAGAGGAAATTTGTTCTCAATTGTATTATGGAATAGATTCAGAAAACAATTTTATAGGAAGATTACAGTAACCTTTTTCTACAACTTATGTTTCAATTCGAGAAGCAGCATTTGAATGTTAGTGAATTCGTTCAAGTAAATTAATTAAAAATGTTAAAATACTGATTTGGTCTTTAAGGTTTTTGTTTGAATTTAAATAGTCTTTAAACTTTTATTTAAAGATAACTTTTTGTATAATTTTTTTTTATATAATCTTATATATTTATTTAATAATTAATTTTTTAATTTAATTAAAAATCTTTAATATTATATACACCAATTTATTTGATAATATATAATAATTGAATATATAAAAAGGTTATCTTCCACTTCATCTTTATTGGTTTTAGAGAAACTACGTGGAAAATAAAAAAAATGGATGGGGAAAATTTATTCTCTTAAAAAATTATTTTTTATCACAATACTATACTCCAACGTGGGGTCACTGTTTTGGAAATTTAAAATACTCTTAGAAGAAAATTTAAATACACGTGGCAATGGATAAAGTTGTGACCCATGAAAATCTAGATTTTTTCATTTAACTTTGAAAGTTAACCAAGCTCCATAAACATTAAATTATCGTTAATTAGTATTTCTTCAACGCTTTATCGTTTCATCTCCTGTGACCGTTAAGTGTCGACGAAAAATTCTCTCTTTCTAAGGCCTAAACTCAAAATCAATTGCTAAAAAATTGATCCTCTTCTTGTGTATTTTTCAATCCAAAACAAGATCAAAAAGCAACTTTTATTTTATATTTTTTTATTATCTGATATTGAATTGAGAATAAAAGTAAAGAATTATAAAACATCT